TATGTACCAAGTTTAACTGCAACCAAACAGGGACTAATTAATATGTACAGGGTCCCATAATGACCAGTGTATGTATACCAAGTTAAAATATAATCCATCTTTAAACAGCCGAGAAATGCTTGATCTTGATGATTTTTCAGTACAAAAATGGCTGCCATTATGTATAGTATTATGTATGATGTATGTGTTAAGTTTGAGTGTAATCAGTCCAGGCATGTCTAAGATATACGTCTGGACGCACACATGGACAAATAGGCGAATGGACACACAGACACACAGGGGTCAATCCATAAGTCCCCCTTTCCAGACTTTGTCTGAATAGGGATTAATAAGAGGCTGAAATTTGTTATTGAAATTTCTTTTTGCATCACTGTCTATTGAATCAAGTATGGGGATTGAATATGGCAGTCGTGACCACATTCACAAGGAATCTGAAATTATTGTAAACAAATCATCACTCAACATTGACTTGGAACACATCAATGCATGCATTGAAACAAATTGGATTTTTGAGATACGTTAAGATGTGAATTTTAAAAAGTATGCAAATTTGCGTAGACTGGAAACATTGGAATACATCTACTTTCTGTCAAATATATATCTGTGTTATTATATCTCCCAGTTTCTATTTGTAGTCTGTGAGCACTAATTCTTAATTTTGTCATTGATGACCTGTGATGGGTGTTTTTGACTATGCCAAAGTCTGTTTTCAGTAAGTGCCAAATTAATTTTTGTGATTTTTCCCTTTGTTATCATTTGTCTAAAATCAATTTACACTTGAACTTGACAAGGCACTAAAGCCAACCACATATACCAAATTCCTGGGATATGAAAGACAAGATGTCGACTTTTGTGTTTGTGCATTGCTTCTAGTACCATCACTTCAAATTTGTGTTCATTCTATAAATATATCTGACCTTATATATAAATATATATAAGGTCACAAGACTGTAATTTTTTTTGAAATTCATTTGAAAATTTGACTTTGTTTTTAGGTGTCTTTTAGGCAGGCCATCTCTAGATTTATACAAAAGGCCAGGTTTTGTAATGTTCAATATTATCTTTGAATTATGTATCAATTTACTTAATTCACTAACAGTCTAATTTATAACTTTCCACTGTTTCAGTTCCCACATGGTAGTGACAATCTACACCATGAAGTTGAACTTGGTGTTGTAATTGGAAAGCCGGGATTTCAAATCAGAGAGTCTACTGCTATGGAGCATATTGGTGGCTATACATTAGCCCTTGATATGACGGCACGGGACATCCAGGATAAGATGAAGAAAAAAGGACTACCTTGGACGCTGGCCAAAGGATTTGACTCGTCTTGTCCCATAGGTTCATTCATACCACCTGATAAAATTCCTGACCCTCATGACATTGAAATATGGCTCAAGGTCAATGATGCAATGAAGCAGCAGGGGAATACAAAGAATATGATTTTTAAAGTTCCATTTTTGATCAGTTTTATTAGCCAGTTCATGACGCTGGAGACTGGTGATTTGATTTTAACTGGAACGCCATCTGGTGTTGGTCCGGTATCACCGGGTGATGTTATTACATGTGGCCTCACTGGCTTGGCAACAATGACATTCACTGTTAACAAATAAATAAGTGCAATAAAACAGTTCTTCTGAATGTAACTATGGTGTGGTAACTATGGTGTGGTAACTATGGTGTGGTAACTATTGTGTGTTGATCTTTTATTTATTTATGTGTGGATATATAAGCAAGCAAATGAATCAAGTTGATTTATGCAGATGTTACTTTGGTTGTCTAGGGATAATGATGAATTTGCCAAAATTTTCGCCAAGCAAATATAAGGCGACATTTTCACCAGGACAAGTCTTCTGTAGTTTTGTGATGAAAAACAAAAGAATATATATATATAATAAATAGTACTTGTTTAATTATTTGTGTTTTCAGCCCTCAAGTTACTGAATATGATCTCCACAAATTACGGTCAATGTTTGTCCTGTCTCGGCTGATTGTTTTGAATGACAGACGTCGGTACCGACTGCCTTCCTAAACTCGATATGGACAACTCAACGGCAGTCGGCATTTCAAAAAAATTATTACCGGGACACGGTCGATAGGTATTCCAAACAAATTATAATCGAAATACAAGATTTTTCTAGATATTGTCATACTAAACATACGCATATTTTCTTTCACTCTTTGTGTTGTATTTTTGTGGCAGTATGTCACGTCAGAATAGTGTTTAAGACCTCCAAACCTAGTCAAAGGGTCAGATAATATGGTCTTAGAAAAAGAACTTAACAAACTTAAAATGGAGAGTGAATCTAATACGAACACTGTAAATACACTAAGGAAAGACAACAATGATCTAAGGAAAGTGGTTGAATCCTTATCCGAAAAATACATCATTATGACCAACCAATATGAACAGTTATCATTACATGTCAGTGAATTAAACAGCCAAGCATATGAACAGTTATGATTACATGTCAGTGAGTTAAACAGCCAAGCATATGAACAGTTATCATGA